CGCATTATGCGAAATAAAATGTTTTGCAAACGCTCCAATCACTTATCGACATGTAAACGCACTAAACCGATTTCGCAGCGTTGACACATTGTCACCTTGAAACTTATTTAAACTGGGAACTGACATTTGTATTAATTTTGACACTGAATCAATTTGTGGCATTTCAAATCTTTATAAATCCTTTGGCCCCGCATACTGTAAATCAACAACTGTTTGTTTCAAAACAAAATTATTCATTTTACGAGTAGATAAAGGCAATTTTGGTATATAAAGATGCCCAAACAGTTAAATAGTCGGTGTAAGGAACTCGTGGCCTCGTTAATGCACTACTTTGAGCAAAAAAGGGACAACAACGGGCCTTTGTTGCCTTTAAATGCTGTTCAAGAGGTAGGTTACTAATAATTATATGTAATGTATATTAATAATAGTGAAATTTTATTTCATTTTTTGTAGCGTGTTGCTGCTGCTTTAAAAATTAGTTTAAGGACAGTTAGTCGTATTTCCGAGGGTGTGAAAGTGATGCAAATTTAGAATCGCCCAAGAAAAAGCGGAGTTATATTAAACGTGTAACCAACACAGCGACATTGGATACAAGTGCCATTCGAGAAGTGATCTATAATATGTATCACAAAAGTAAGATCTTATTATAATAACTTATCAGAAATTTGCATTAATTTGTTAACTAAATTATAATGTCATATTACACATGGTTTCAGAAGAACAAGTTACGATACAAACTTTATGGTCTCGATTAAGAGATAGGGCATTATTTGATGGTAGTGCCACGTCTTTAAGGCGGTTGCTTAGAGATCTTGGATTTAAGTGGCTTAAGGACAATCCGCGACGAGGGCTCATGGAACTACCAAGTATAGCTTTGAAAAGGTTGGAATTTCTAAGGCAATACAATCAAGCCAAGGTTGAGGCCTTATACCAGTTTGTCTTCCTCGATGAAACTTGGATATTTCAAAATGGGACTATAGGTCGCTCTTGGCAAAATGGAAACCAAAAAAGCGTGAAAGCTATTAAAACAGATGTTAAAAGGTATGTACTTTTACACAATTTGCACTATAACATTTAAAACTAATATATTTTAGATACATTATATTACATGCTGGAAATGAAAATGGGTTTATTGAGGGTAGTGAAGCGATATTTTCTTCGAAAACAAAATTGAGCGATTACCATGGAGAGATGAACCAGGACAATTTTTTGAAATGGTTTCAACATCAGTTATTAGAAAAATTGGAGAGTCCATCTATGATTATACTGGATAACGCCCCTTATCACAGCATGATATTGAACAAAGTGCCCAACAATGCATGGACAAAAAAAAATATCCAAGACTGGTTGACAAATCAAAACATACCATTTTTAAACACAATGTTTAAAACAGAGCTATTGAGTATTGTTGCTCGGTACATAATGCTTCTTAATTATATATATTTTGGTCGACAGTTTATATTTCTTTTGTTTATTCCTATTCTTAAAATAACTGCTTTTTAGAAACAAACCACCTAAAATATACGTGATTGATGAATTGGCGGAACAACATGGGCACAAAGTTCTTCGTCTGCCTCCTTACCATTGTATATTTAACCTTATTGAGTTAATTTGGGGCATAGCAAAAGGTTACTATAACAGACATATTGGTAGAGATGGTAACAGTGAAAAAGACTGTTTGGATATGTGGAACGAGGCTCTACAAACGGTTACCCCAGACATGTGGAAAAATAGTGTTCGACATACTGAGCAAGAAATTTTTAAATGGTATGAAAGAGAACGAATTTTTGATCGACCAGACATCGAACCTTTAATAATCAACTTTGAGAGTGATGAAGATTCAGATTCAGCCAACGCTGAAGAAAGAAACTCCGACTAACTTTATTGTACAGAAAAAGCTTACACCAGTAGGTTACCTAATTTTAGAATGCACTTTTCTGTATGAATTCTGTAAAATAAATACCATGCATAAAATTTGGAGGACCCCATTTGGATTTTTATTCAGTACCTTTAAGCTATCAATTAAATATGGTAGTTTCATAGTGTCATCTGATCAATAATTGTCATACTTAATGATTATGCAAGTACAGATCTATAATTTTATTATACTATTATTTTTGTTCTCATTTGAGGTAATATTGCTTATAAACCTAGATATGTAAATAATAAATTTTATTATTTTACAAAAAGTTTGGCAACAATGTAAATTTTTCAACACACCCACCTTGATGACGTGCACGCCACTTTGTTTGGCGTTGACTATACACACATTCACATTTATAATACTCGTATTAGTAGGGATTATTTACCTAGAGGGAGAAATGTAACGTGGTACGGGTACCCGCTTAACGTCTGTGAGGTAGTAGCGGGTGACAGGTCTTTTGTCAATTTCATTTAAAATACAGGCATCTCAATTGAAAATTTGTCTTCGCGGTACCGAAAATTGAGTTAAATTATTACATTGCACAAAAAACGATCGGTCTGCCGGTTAACTTGAAACTGTCAAAACTTCGAGAGGAAGGGGAAATTTCATCTGTTCCCGCTCCGGTTCACTACGGGATCTCGCGTAAAAATCTCTGCAGTAAATAATGGTGATTTATTAGATTTTTCTCACAGATATTGCAATAGAAAAAAGAAAAAAACGCGTTTATCAAAATGACAACGATATAGTCAAACAAATCACCCGTTGGAAATTTGTTACTTTTCCAAATTCCATGTTGTCGCTCCGACCCTGTTGCCGCTCTCACGATTGCATTGGTTAGCTATATGAGGGCTCATTTCACGATTAAAATATGACGAGGTTGCGGACTGGGCGTCAACGCCGAGCCCGGACGGCCAACGCCGCCGCATTAAAATCAATTGTTTTAATATGCATTCATTTACTAGACAATCGCACTGATGTCATTACATGTACTAATCGAGCGGTTGACAGAGCGTCGGTATGCCGATATGGATAACGACACTGTTTTGCAAGCGTTCCGAGTACTGTCTGTCGATGTATGCCAAGTGCGGGGAGTATGAGTCAAGTATTTGCAACGCGCCGCAGGATGGACCCGATGCGGTCGATGGTATCGTATGTTTGCGGTTCGATATTGATCCCGCTCTTCAAAAACCACAATGCTTCTTCGTCCTTGGCTTAGTAAAATTTGGTTTCAATGTTTCAACAAAATGCGAGAGGCACTATCCAAGTTATTGAAGACGTTTATTTTCGTGATATACAGCGTGTCCGCAAAGTTTGGGTTTTCCTTTACACAACGTGTAGATCTTGAAAACATAATCAATTTTTCTCAGTACCATATACACCAATGTCTTAAGGGAACCGAGATAAAGGGCTCTGCAACATCAGAAATATCTGAATACCGTCCTGTAGCTGCGACCGGCGACATCACCGAGTGGTACAAGGTCACTGGCTCAACCCGACGACAGAACTGGGTCGGGGTCAGTGTGTCAGGTCAGTATGCAACCTTCAACCTTACATGTTATATAAAGAATATAATATTTCTTTTCGAAATCATCCGTGAGTCTTCTCTCTTCACTTTCCAGTTGCACGGAAGGTGAAAGGGGTAGTGTCATCAGCGAATAGGATTAAGTTATTATTCACATTATAGTTAGTTATATCATTGACGTAAATTAAAAATAAAATAGGTCCCAATACCGAGCCTGGCGGTACCCCGTGAGCAGCGACTAACTGTGAGGATGATGAACCTTTAAAGAATACAAATTGGCGTCGATTACTCAACTAAGATTTAATCATTGCAGTGGATGCTTCATGAAAGTTATAAAAGGGAGCTTTTCCAACAGGATGTCGTGTTGAACACAATCAAAAGCTTTGGACAAGTCCAACAAACATGCTGCGCCATATAGGATGTTTTCAAAAGTCTCGTTCACAAACTGAATAAAACTGTTAATAGCTGATGTGGTGGAACTATTTTTCCTAAAACCAAACTGTGTTGAGCAAAATAGATTATTAGCCTCAAAGTATTCATTAATTTGATCTTTCAACAATAATTCCAAAATTTTCGCAAAAATAGGTATTAAGGAAATGGGCCTGTAGTTGCATAACTCTTCAGTATCCCCTTGTTTGAAAATGGGTATAATTTTAGATAGTTTGAAAAAATCCGGAAAAGTATTACTTTCTATACACTGATTGAATAACTTGGTTAGAGGATATATGATGAGATTTTGCAAGGTTTTGACAATCCTGACATTAAAGCCATAAGGGTCAGTACTCTTTGAGTTTTTTAGTTTATTTATGGCAGTTCTCACATCATGATATGAAACTTCCCTGAATCGAAAGTGTGAACTATGAGTAGGATGATTCATATAATGCGATGGAGAAACATCGGATGGGGTAATTTTATTTAAAAGTTTTTGTGCGATATGGGTAAAAAATTCGTTGAATTGATGTGCTGTGAGAGATGTTGAGGAGTCCTGGTTGTGTGCGTTCGGTTTAACATTCTTTATGATATTCCAAGCAGCATGTTGCCTGTTGTTGGATTTATTAATGTAGTCATCATTGGCTTTAATCTTAGCTTTGACAATTTCTTGTCTGTAAGTGTATTTAAATTGTTTCAAGCAGTCCGTACTAACTAAAGTAACATCGTCTTTATGAAGCTCTGTTAGGAAAGTCAAAGTCTCTCTCATATTTCTTATATGATCATTGAACCAATACACATTACAGGAGCTTTTATTATCATTAACAAGTCGCGATTTTATAGGAAGATGTTGATTGACCGAAATTCTGACAATGGATATGAATTTTTCAATTTTATATTCGATTGTCGTACTTTTTTCATTAACAAATTCGAAAGATGTTGATTCCATATCATTGTAAAGTTTGAAAAGGCCGCTGTTTGTTATAGGTCTATAATGGAGTTTCCTCCGTACTTTCGGTGCATGTGATAAATTAAAAGTATAGTCAAGCGCTAAATGATCTGAATAATGAGTATCAAAAACATTAACGCTAATTTCTGAGTCTACGTAGTTTATGAAGATGTTATCTAGACAACTTGAGTTCTTGTATTTTGACTAACTATTGGCATGAAACCATAACAACTAAATAAGTTCACAAGCTCCTGAGCTTGGTGTTGTAACGTATTAAATCTAACATTAAAATCTCCTGTTAACACAATTTGCTTGCGGTAATCAAGTCCATCCAATAAACGACAAAGTTTCATAATAAAGTATTCAAAATTACCATCAAGAGATCGATACAGTGAGATTAACTGAAGATCATTCACATTTACTCCGGCCGCCTCAAAGTGTAGTTCTTCTGACAGATTCAGAAGGTTATCTGATAGAGGTACGGCATTAACATGATTTGCTACATAAATAGCCACACCACCACGAATTTTCACATCCCTACAGAAACTAGATACAGATCTAAAACCAGAGACATGATAATAGGATAACTCATCTTTTCTTAACCAGTGTTCATTCCTGACTTACAGCGAACACCTTGGATATTTAGATGTAGTAGTCTAAAGAGCACGTTACTGTTTTTTACTGTTTTAACAGATCGTGGTTTTGGTATTGTATTATTCTGTTGTTTATCTTCCCTAATGAGTGCTTTACTTAAGAAAAAACTCTTTTCAGACTTGTCGGGGATGTTGATTTGATTTTGACATTTTTAGTTGTTCAAAAATAATATCCTTTACATGCTGAATGATTGTCATTTTTGATCCCGTAGCTCTGATGTCATAGAATAGGCTCAAAGAATAGTTTCTATTTAGTTTCCTGTGTCTATCGACTTTAGTATTAATTCTATTTCTAAGATGATAGTCGACAGATGTGGTCAATTCGCATAAAAAAATAAGATTGGTTACTCGACCGAGCAATGTAAACCTTTGTTTAAGGATGGGGTGTTACTTATATTGTTAGAGTTGATCATGAAGATTACAAAATCGTTCTCACCAAGAGATTTTGTGATGTTAAATACGTTTTTTGTGATATCTACAAACTCTAAATTGGGATAAACGTGAGCTTTTATGGAGAACTTTGTCATGTCGGTGTATAATTCTAACACTTTTCTGAAACTTTTTGCATATTCGTCACCAATTATAATGACTTTCCGACAGCTGTCTGAGGCATTACGTTTCAGTGATCCACCTGATGGTACTATATATCGATGCATCATCGAATTCTTTTGGAGTTTGCAGCTTCTGCTGCTACTTCGCCGTCTAACTGGGGTATGGGGGAAACGATAGATGCACAGTGGGCAAAAGTCGACGCTGTTTGATGTTCGTCGAATTCATGTTCTATCGGCTGGCTTTTACACATATCGTTTGTCTTCATTTGGAAACTTGTAGCTCTAATATCATTCGCAACTGGAGGTTCTTCCATCAGAAGTGAGGTTGTCAGTTCCTGAAGTGTACTGTTTTTTGAGGATAAATATGCTTGGTGATGCTCTATATTTTGTATTTGACGCTTGTAAGTCTGGATCTCGTCGTTGTAATTTTTTTCAATTTCAATCACATCATCCTCAAAAGCCAATGAGCGTTTTTTCATAGAGGCAATATATTTATCCTTCTCTATGTCAAACTTTTCTAATTTTGGTTGTTCTAACCTCACGCAATGAAGTAACCTTGTTTTATCGAGGAACGCATATCGTCAACACGAATTCATTAATGATAAAGCGAAAAGCAATAAATTATTGCTGATCACATCGAAACAAAACTACTGACTCACCAACTAACTATAAACGTCGTTTTAAAGTACCTCTAGTCATACATATTTAATCTAATAGCGATGTGTCTGTTGACAAAATAAAGCCGATTAGACGTGCAACTTTAACACATTACTTTATCTTAATGCCCAGAATATTTTATAAGGCGTATTATAAATAACGTGATCGAAAGTCGGCATGAAATCATCACTAAAGTGATGACCCAGCTAAATTACTTTTTTTCTAGTAAAATGCATCAGCGTTTTAGCATAATCCGACGCATTAATTTATTACAAATTAGTTTTTTTATCTTGAAACTCGGAAATTCTGTTTATACATTAGGCGAAGCTATTCACAAAAATAAAAGTATTGTTTATTATCGTTAAAAGCAGAGTGAATAACTTATTGTTATGGCAAGGTGCAAAAATACGCTAATAGCAAGAAATCAAATAAAAATTATAAATTTTCAGTGTTTCCTTGAAGTGCTTTTTAAAGCTTTAAATGTCTAGTTTTTGGATCTGGTAGTTAGAAAAATATTGAAATTGCGGATTCCACGCACTCTTAGGAAGTAGTGTGAATAAAAATATTGCAATTTTTTTATTCAAGTGTACAGACTTGGAAAACTAAAGTATACTTTATCTGAAGTCACTTGAAATAGCATAAAAACCTTTGGTCGGCGCGTCCTTTATAATTTCATGACGTATCATAGGCGTGCGGTCATTTATTTAGAACGATAATAATAATGTTTTTATATCACAATAAATGGATTTTACTATCTTCTTATTTTTTTATTTGGGATAAAAAATACTTATATTGGGAGTTTAATTAATGTTGACTGAAAGTTAAGAAAAGGAAAAATTACAGAATTCCAACGTTTGACATAGGCAAATATTTACATAGCAGGTAGGTATATAAAAAGGTATATAAAGACTTACATTATAGGTATTTATATATCATCCTCGCCTTCGGAGCTGTCGCTAGAGTCATCTTGTAGAGGAATTACAACGGGATTTACAGGTGGCAAAACACAATATTCATTTTCTTTTTCAATAATATGCCTAGAACACTGCTTCCATAGGTCTGTGGCAGCAATATGAGATACTGCATCTCTTATTGTGGCCAATAGCGATTCACTTAATTGAGGGGTCTGATTATGTTTTGTTACTTTTTTTTTTTAATGCAACCCAGACCAACTCAATCGGGTTAAAAATGCAGTAATAGGGAGGTAGACGTAATATTTCATGGCCCATTTTGCTGAAGCAGATTGTCAACAACATACTCTTTTTCAAATTTTTGTCTTTTAATAAGATCCAATAATATGGCTTTGGTTGATTTTTGTGGTATTTCCATTCCCTTATCCTTCATAAAATCAATAATGTCTTGTTTTTTTGTGCCTGTATTCGGAATTTTGTTTTACTGTCGGGAATGGTATGGCGCATTGTCCATAATAATCACTGAATTTGGGGAAATGTTTGGTATTAACTGCGGCTCTATCCACTTTTCAAATAAGTCGGAGGTCATGTCCTCATGATAGTCGGCACATGATTCTTTGATATTTTTGGCAGATAACAGCAAGGCATTAGGTATAAATCCATTTTCATTGAAAACCACACAGTTTTACAATACAGCGCAGTGAGTCTAAGCATTTGTAATTATAAAAATCTTCAGGATAATCTTTTAATTTATCCCGTATCATTTCCAACGTGGGCACCAAATTTTCTTTATAAAATCCGTATATTATACGACGAATATCTTCCTGAAAACCCACGTCTATTCTTTTTAATTTTTGCCCTATGCGCTTTCTGTGGAAGGAATGGTTGACTACATCTCCCCTTTTTATAACCCGATAAATGGTAGACCGACTGATTTTTGTCAGGATACAAATTCTGTTTAAAATTTGATTTTGCGAGGAATCTGGATTTTCGTTTTTCAGACATCATACATATTTAGGATTACTCTTTGGGTCTGTTTCTCTAAATCTTTATGAAAGAATTCTGCCTGCACAGGTTCATCAACCATCTCCTCGTGGCTTGGAGCATTTTCCCAAGGTCTCCAAAGAGCCATATTTAGGACACACAAGAACAATCAACACAACAATTAAATCAACAAGTAAACTGAGTATTCAAAAGTCAAAAACACACAAACTAATAAAATCTATGAAAAAACACGGACAGACTAAAGAAAACACGTTTATTCACCGCTACACGGCACTGGCTAAACTGTTTCAATTTTCAGTAGCCACCTGCACTTGTTCGGAGCTCTGAAATACACGCTTTCTCATTGGCTATGTCCACGCATAGGCGTGCTTTACTCCTCGTAGACCGGTGAAACTGCCTTTGATCTTATACGGGGGATATTTGCTGCGAAATTTGGCGATTTTTGCAGCAACAGAGCGTGTTAAATATAGATATATAAAACGCACCCGGTATTTCACAGTGTTTCAAGTGACTTCAGATAAAGTATACCTTTTTTGCTTTGAATGTCGGTATCTCCGGAACCAATCATCGTAGAGAAAATTTGAAGGTGATTTCAATGGTTTATGAAAAGGTAGGATCCTGGCTGAAAAAAAAAACTTTTTTTTAATAAAACCAGGGGACTGACTTTTACAACTACTTCACTTTATATCTGGACGGTTTTTGTTTCCAACATGAAAATTTCGAAAAAAACTTGGACACGTTTATTGCTTTTTTAACTTTTTATACATTTTTTCATACAAAAAGCGTTAAAATTTATTATTTTATAGATTATTTTCTTTAAATGCGAGTGCAATTTCTTTTGGGGCAAATCGATGATAATCTCAAAAAAAGCGTTTTCCATTATGGCAGCAATAACCGTCATGGTTTAATTTTTTCCGAGCCGTTCATTGTTCAAAACAAAACAGTCTGGGTATGGAGCGGTGAAAATCAAGCTCAACATTAGTTATTTTGTCAATACTTATTTAATTCTTCTCAGAAAATTCATAAATTATCCATTTTTATCTGTTTTTCCAACCCATGTCTAGGATGAAGACATTTTTCCATGAGTGATTATTTATTTTTCTAGAGAATCCATTCCAGCTTCTGAAACAACTTTTTTCTGTGCGATTATTGGTTCCTGAGATATCGATCAAAGCCAAAAGAGTCTTTTTTTTTCATTAAAAATTAGATATCTCAGTAACAAATGGTCGAATCGAGATTTTGAAAAAAGCAGATTGAAGCTGAATTAACGGGCTATTGAGTCCATGCGATGGTTTAGCGAGAAAGATGCCGTTAAAGCCGTGCATCTAAATAAGTGCATGTTGTTACACAGTCTTGTAGGAGTGCATCTAACATTTTTTTGACTAGAAGATCCAAAAACAGGCCACAAGTTTCATAATGATTCTCTTAGACCCCTATATGTACATTTTTACTGCGATACAGCATTTCAAAAAAAAAAAGTGACATATAAATCCGAACACCCAGTTTAAATGGTTTTATTTCAATAAAATTTTGTATAAGTACTTAATGAAGCATAATAAGTAAATGATAAAAATTAATTTCAAAATGATTGCACTGCTTTAAAGCCCTTTGACCTTTAATAATGTGTGGATGCACCCTGATGTGCTACGCATTCTCCAACGCGTCTAGGCATGCTTCTGATCAGGTGGTCAATGTCCTCCTGTGGTATCTCATTCCAGGCAACCACCAACTCCTCTCGAAGTGCTTCTAGAGTCTGAGGAGGACGTTGCAAATTGAGCAATCTCCTACCCATCATATTGGGGATGAGTCGGGAGATCTTGGTGGCCATGGTAACAATGTGACATCATTATGTTGAAAGAAGTCTATTGTGACTCTTGCAACATGTGGTCGGGCATTATCTTGTTGGAAAGTTGGATCTGCCAGGGTGTCAAGATAGGGTAAAAGATGGGGTTCTAGAACTTCGTGGATATATAACGCTGAGCGTTCATGTTACCTGAATGAAGATTAAAGGTGACCTGGAACCATAAGCTATAGCACCCCAAACCATAACTCCAACAGTGTGATGAACATGTCTTTCAACAAAAAACTGTGGATTCCTCCTTTCACCACGTCGCCTTCTAACCCTGGCACGACCATCGTGCATGCCTAAACAAAATCGAGACTCGTCACTAAAGACAATACTGTTCCATTCCTGATCCCAGAGTGACCGTTGTCTGCACCACTCAAGGCGATTACGTCGGTGTTCTTTAGTTAAAGGGAGGACCCAGTGTGGCCGGTATGAAAACAAGCCAAAACTTCTCAGTCGTCGGTAAACACTTCGCATGCCAATAGGTCTTCCGTGTTCTGCAAACCATTCATTTGCAATGGACCTGGTAGTGGAGAAACGGTGTTTACACTTATTTGCACTCTAACTGCAATTGCCCGAAAAGAAAGTCCAGCTTCCCGAACTCCCACTATACGGCCCCTATGAAACTCACTAAGTTGACGAAATCGTACAGGTCTCCTTACTGTAGGCATCGTAACCGATCGTAAAGGATGTCACGAACCAAAATCCGCCAACTTTGATTCTTTTAGAGCATTCGTGAATTAAAAAAAAAAAACAGTATAAAAACCGGAATGTCCAACTGATAAGGCTGAACATTTTTTCACTTGTTATTTACAGTAAGATAAATACATTCACCACCTTTTATTAAAATAAAACCATTTAAACTGGGTGTTCGGATTTATATGTCACTTAGTATATCTAAAACAATTCTTAACTTCTATGGTAAGAGACCATATTCCAAGTACAGGAGTATGGAAAACTTACGGTGCCACGCTTCAAACGATACAAGTTTGGTGCAACATTTTATATTTGAATTATGAAAGGATTTTTTTAACAATGTCTGTCTACAAATTCAAATGGA